AATGTTATCCCGTGAATCCTGAAGATTAACTAAATGCGAGAAAACTCAAGAGACCTTAGGCCGGTCGTTGCGTCATATCCAGATTTTTCGGCCGCCAAGCGCGTTTTGCTCATGTGGGCAGCACATGGAATTGCAAGCTTGCCAAGTATATTACCCTGCATGTGACACTGGTTGTGACGTTTTTGTCTGGCCTTTCTGACAATATCAAGAGTGCACGTGCATAGCTTTGATGGGCATTGTAGGCACACAAGAGCAGAAGTTCCGACAAATCTGGGTATGATGTCACGCTCAGAGATGACAGGGCTTTGGCGCTATTTCCAAAGCACTGTTACGACTGCTCCTCGCATCAGACTGAAAAATAATTCCAATATTCGTGGTCCTGGGGGCCAAAAGAAGATAATTAAAGTGTTTAGTTTTTCGAAAATACAGAACCACTTTAGTTTCCCTTTAAGGCTTGTCGTGGCAAGGCACACTTTTTTGTTGGGAAGCACAAAAAACAGGTCCACATGCCAGTAGGCTCATACGAACGGTGGATCAAGCTTGTTGAAGGGCACATCAAACAGTCGGGTGGTGCAGGCTCTTTGAGGGAAGCCATTTATATCAAATAACTGGCAAAGATTGATCATCTCTAGGCCTTCAAAAAGACCAAAGGAAAAAAGAAATTACTTTCTTGAGCTAAAAAGTGTTTATCAACCTTGCTGGCCTAGCCATTGTTTTAACTTGTTCTCGAACGTTTCGTCAGCTTGTACAGCTAGCTGACACCATCTTACATGATGTTGCAAGGAGATACTTTACAAAAGTATGTCTTTGCAATCGGATGAGGCGGGATGGCGGTTGTTATGATAAAGCCAATTTCCTACTTTTGATATGATTACATAAGTACCATGTCTTTTATGTGTACCTCCCTCAAGCTCCATTGCTTTGCATCGTTGCTCTGTGGTAGAGCATCTTGGTGGCCCGAAGTTTGGATGTCGACCTCCTTCAGTTACTGTCACATTGTATTTTGAAATACCACAGCCAAAAGAAATGTTCCCCTAAGTTTAAACTGAATATGGTGCTGCACTGTTATTTTATTATCACTATTCTTTTCTTTGTCTGCCTCTTTTGGAATGATGTTTTGCACTTCGTTTTCAGGTCAGCAGGGGGATGTAACATCAACACAACATGAAGGTGTCGATGTGCCTTTTGGTTCACAAGTTCAGTTTCCCTGGAGCAGCCTTAGCAAAGACGTCATGAAAGCATTGCTAGAGGGGACTCAACTTAATCCGACTGACCGACAAGAAGTTGTGCGCATGGCTGCCGCGGCCTATCAAAAAGTCAAGGCTAGACCATCTGCACGTGAAATTAGGAGTGCTGCCAGTTACCTTGTTGACAAGTACCCTGGGGCACTTGGGGACCCCACTTCCTGCTCAGCTAAGTCAGTTTCTTCTGTAGGCCTGGCCTACAAAATAGAGAACAGAATAGAAAACAACAGAAGAGGATGCAAACGCCTTGCGGAAGCGCTCACTGGTGGAACCATCAAGCTAAAGAAGCAGACATCTCGATCAGCTTACGGTTGTGTGAACTGGCAGCCAGCTACTACGAGTTCGTCACTTCATGAAGTGGAAGCCTCAAGAAAGTTTGTATTGGACGAGGCATTGAAGTCGACATGTGAACAAAACATTTGCCTTCAAACAAAGGCCATGGCTGAGTGCTACCCCCACATCAGGACGTTCATAAATTCGTCAGAGCCTCCATATTCAGCATTGGATGTCAAACGAGCATGGCCACTTCTGTTTGTGAGGGAGCACCTCCTTGACCACTTCCATAGGTATAATTTTTATAAATATTTGTCCTCGAGTTTACTCAGGTTTAGAGTTATTTACAGGGTGTCGAAAAATGCAAAGCTATAGTTATAGAATTGACGGCAATGGGAGCTGCAAATTTGACAAAAAAGTGTTCCTTTTATTATTAACCATTATAATGCTCGGGCTTGGTGGCCACTGTTTTAGTTGCATATGGACTAGGGCAGCGTGAGTAAGCAATTAGAATGTGGGGAATATCATGAACTATAAATGTAACTATGGCTTCAATGTTCTGGTAGAGCAGTCACAATAGCATGTGGTAGAGGGCAAGAAACATTTCAGCACTGCAGCATGGAGGCACACATAACTGAGTGAATATAAAAAGAAGGCAAATCGGAAACTTGCAGCAGTTTCAAAGTTTTTCCTGGCATGTGTGCTTGAAAATCTTTTTGCACAAATATACCTTTCTAAAAAGGCAGAATATGTTCAGTTCTTTGCAAGAGTCACTCACTCCTAAAACAAACATACACTATTATGCTCATAAAAAGGTGCTTTGAACGACGAATATGATTGCTACTTTCATCATACAGTGGTCCTTGCCGATTTCTTTCCTTCAATATTTTGCTTTTCGCAAAAACATATTTTGATTACAAAGATTTTGGATATGAGGAGTCAGTGATAACACGAATTTTTTAATGCTTACAGGTGTCTGTCTGGACGGAAAATTGAGCCTGCCCAAAGATGTCCTCCTCCTCGTGACATTCCTACGTTCAAGCCCCAAAAATGATGCTGTGCTCGAGTGGAGCCTCAAAATCAACAAGGCCGAGGCAGAGTTCAAAGATCAAAACGCAGCAGCTGTCTGCCTCCTCCCATTGCTTGCATCCTACTTTCAAGTAAACCTAGGAGAGCTCTTCCAGTTACATCAGGTAGGAGCATTCATAATAACCAGGCTAATTGTTTCCAAAGACACATCCTAATGACCTTGTTGAAACTAACTTCCTGGAAGTCTCACACAGGCAGTCAGCATTCCACGGAGAAACTATGCATCTGGAAATACCAAACTTTTCTTCATTTTTTGAAATTTTCAGCTATATCAGTCTTCCTGTATACCGTAACATACCGGTCATGCACCTATGTCCGAATAGGCGCCTACCTAATGATTTTTAACCATTGGAGCAATGCCTTGTACTCTTTCTGCAGTTTCGCTTTCTGAGCGACCATCCCCCCACTTTTTCAGAATTGTCTGCAAAATCTTTGTGAACGTTTTCTTGGTATCTGACGACAATGCTGATAATGAGCACGTAAAAAGTGAAATTACTATTGCTCTACGAGGAGCCAACCCTTCCTTAATCTTTTCCTGGTTGAGGTGGCTCAACTTGTTATACTTCACATTAGAGTGCAATGGGAAGATATGCAACTCTAGGCTTGGTCATCTTATAGTATGTTCTACATAAATATTTCACTAAACCAAAGGGGGAGCGGCGGTGGGCACCCACTCTTGTACCACTTGCTTCTAATTGGTTCACATGATGTTTTGCATTTTTGGGATCGAGTGTTAGAGTTAACACAACAATTATTCTAGAGAATTAACTAGTGACAAACGTTTGTACTTCCACTTCGACTCCTAAGTTAGGATCATTTGTTTTTAATATTAGCAACTTCCTTGTCCCGCAGGTGTAACAATGAGGCTTTGTGACAGATATCAGCAGATACATTGCTGCTTATTTAACGTTGTTTTTTAGTTGTTATTGAGCGTTAGGACAACAAATGTTTGTAGTTAAAAATGTCCTTATTAGTGAGAAAATAACAGGAACCGCATCCTTTAATCTCAGCAAACGCTATCTCCTGTAGGTGGGATGAAGGATTAAAGGAAATAAGGGTGAGATGAAAATAAAGTCGGTGAGACGAACCTCTTTCACATAAGTGAGGGGTGAATGGAGAATAGCCCTTTGGTGTTCCCGAATACCCGTGGGATTAAGACTCTTTCAAGGTTTGGGGTTCTTGCATGTGTGGGCAGTACCAGGAGTGCGCTTCTGAGACTGTGACCTCGCAGTGGGCGCATAGGCTCTTGTCTTTTTCCTGTGTATGGCGGCTTATGCACCATGTTCTTGTGGGTGTTACATTTTGCTGTTTCCTTGGAAACCATAGTGGTGTGGGTCTGTTGTCTTTTCAGGCGAACCTCTTCCCACCTGGTATAATTACCATCTGGGAGTGGGTCTAAGTCTTCTTTGAGTAGAGCCGTGAGGTGTTTTCAGTTGGCCTGTTGTTTGGCTTCCTGGGAGAATAGGGGATCCTTTGTGTATTTTTCAATGAAGGCGGCGCTGTTGTCACCAAGGATAGTAAGGATAAGGGAAGACAGGAACTCGCATGCGGCGGCAGACACTGTTTTATTTACTTGGGAATGGTTTGGTGTACCAGTAAGCAGTGGATTTAAAGTTGTCGGCCTTTCTGCCAGAGTCCTTTGAATGTGCCCCACACTCGTCGTGTGTTATCTCGGAGCTTGCACCTCAGTTGTTTACGGAGCTTCTGGCTGTATTTTTTATCTTCGCCGTGGTTGCATCGAAATTGGCTTGGAGTTTTCAGTCCTTATTTCTCCTGTAACACTGTTGGGCTTGCAGTCTGATAGCACACAAGTTGAGGAGATGAAGGTCGCGGTCTGGGTCGTCTTGTTTGCCTTGGTACTTCTGAGTGGATGTGGCTTTTATTATTCGCTCACCTAGACACTTTTTCAGGTGCTAGGTTAATGAAGCTGATCTGTCATTTAGTGTTGGGGTGTCTTTCTGTCATTAATCCTATTTCGACGGGTAGGTGCTTGCTTCCCAAGGCGTAGGAGCAGTTCGCACTCGGGCTTGGATGTTGTGTATGGCCCATGTCAAGTCTTGTAGTGTCGTTCTCAGTGCGACGTTTGCCAATGCGAATGGCAGTCTGTTTTTCTTTGAGAATTCATAGATTGGCCTGCTTGGCAGGTGTGAAGACATTGCACTCTCTGTCATTGTCTCGCTTGTATTCCCATATTCGTGCATATGCGGTAAAGTCGCCGGCCACGATAAGTTCTTCGGGCATCATTCTTTGCGATCCGCCTTACGTCGTCTTGCTTGTGTCCCACAGTTCTACATTCTGTGGGAATAAATATAGACCCATAGATGTATGGTACCTTCACTAGCATTTCGTGCATTTCTCAATTAACCACACATGTTTTCTGACTTTTCTTAGGTGACAACAGTGACAACAGAAATCACAGAGGAGTTTCGTAACAGTCTGCCTGCTTCTCCTGTAATTGTTGCACTGGGTGAGCTTCATGTGTCTTTTCCTTGCATGCTTTGTATTTCTGAAGGTGGTTTCTTTTTTAATTTGTGTTGAATTTTGGAACAACAACCTAGACCGTTTTATCGTGGGTACTGCCATTTTGAGAGTGAGAGAGAGAAGAGGGGTCAGTGCAGATGACTCCTAGTGACTCAATTGTAGTGGGATACTGTAGTGGTGTAACCAGAGTGCTGGAATACTGCAGTGGTGTAACCAAAGGGTGGTGTGCCGATTTTGACCAGAGCTAGATAGACGACCACATTGTTTGGTTTCGGCAGCCTTATCAAGCACCAATGTAAAGCACATGTCCTGGTATTATACCATACTTCGACAATCAATGTTTGATTGATCCAGCAAGAAAAAGATAAGTTTTTATTTTGGTTTGTGAGTGCAGGTGCCACAAAACGGCATACAGCCCAAACAGCAGGTGCCTGTGAGGCATTTGATTGTTTGGGCCTGCATTCTGTGTCTTGTCCAACCCGAACAGCCAAATTTTCTGCTCGTAGAATGTGTGGTCGCATGCGGTCTCCGGTCATTTAATTTCTAGCTAAAGCAATTTAAACGAAACCGACGACTGGCATTGCACGTTGGCATCAGACTTCCATGCTACTGATTCTGTTCACAAACTCAACAAAAAGTGTTTGATTCTACATGCTCATATACATTTTTTTTTGTTTTGTTCAAGCCTTCAGGAGCACTTTGCATAACTTAATGTCATTACTGGGTATGGTAGCTCAACACTATTTAGTGCGACCCTTATTTGGCTTGGCATATAAGGTGTGCCTTATCTGTGATTGTGATGAATCTCAGTCTCAGATCTCAGATATGCGTCACAAACCTATATCAGTGTGCCTACCTATTCAGTGTCCCTGCTGGTAATACCTCTATAGAAGTTTCCAGATATGAATATGACAATGGTATTTTTTTCTCCATTTAATGCGTGTGAGCGTTAAAAGCCCTATTAGAGAAAAAGCCGGCGTATTGGTGTCGGTCGCATGACTTTTCTGGTCACTTGACTAGATAGGTCGATACATCTGATACTAACACATTTTCTCCGCATTATTTACATTAATCGCTTGTTTCTTTCCTAGGCCGCTCACTTTTCGAATGCAGCTGCCAGCTGTTTGTGGACCGTGAGGTGATGGTGGAAGATGTGGGCTTTCTGCAAGCTGTGGAGCTCCTTTTCGCCCTTTATTATTGTTTAAACATCCAGTATGCCAAAGGTGCGGGAACCACACTTGAGTTCATTCAGAGGTATGGTTTATTTCCATCATAATTTTGAGCCTCACCAGAGGCAATAAAGAGCAACTCTGCTGAATTTTGGCTGAGAAAACAATTAGTTCTCTTTATAATCATCTAGGAAGGCTACAACTGAAATCTTTCTGTATATAAAATTGGACCCTCAAAGTTTGACAAGCGCTAATCTGCTAATTTTAGCGAGCGATGTGCAGGCTAGCCAACTTTGGCACTTCCTTCAGATGTGACGTCATGTTGATGTCTGTTGTTACACCGGCTTTTTTCTCTTTCAACGCCATCACATGTTCAGTCAGTTCAGACAACACTACCTAGAGTTGACCCAGTGAGTGGGGTAAATCACGTAATCATGCATATGGCATGGACATGAGTGTGCATGCAACTGACGTCGCTGCTTGCCCTTTGCCGAAGTTTCGGTTTCAATTTGCGACTTGAGTTATAAATAGCAAAGTTGAACAAACAATATTCTACTTTTCGTGAAACAATGTAGAGTTGTTCATGAGTGCTTTTCAAAGTAAGGTCATCCACTATCTTGAAATTTTATAAATTGAGTAGAGTTGCCCTTTAATTTGTCACTGGCTACCCACATTTCCAAGCTCAATTTCAGAGTCCATTATTAAACCGGAATAGGGTGTTGTATTCTTGGACCACAGAATGAATAAAACGTGCTCGGGACGAAGGAGACGACAAACATTTCTTTCAACTAAGAACAACAGGAATGAACTTAAGAGCACTCCGTGCAATTCAGACTGCCAAGAAAATGGAGAGAAAGGGAGGCAGGAAGATAAAAAGGAAAGTGTAAAGTTAGAATTGTAACTCATGCTGTTACTTCACTCTTTTTCTTCTTTCCATCCTTACAATTTTTGACACTTAACTTTCTCTCTTTCTGCCTCCCTTTCTCTCAATTTCCTTGGCGGTCTGAATTGAAGGAAGTGCTTTTAAGCTCATTCATGTTGTTAATTAAAAGAAATGTTTGTCGTTCTTCGTCTGGTATGTTTTGTTCTTTCTGTGGTCTGTGAATTTTACCAACACACTCTTCAGTTACTTTAAAGGTTGTTATATCTTGCATAATAATTCGATTTAAAAATTTCACGTAATGTTACAATGTGACTATGTTTGATCCTATCCCAGAAATCAAAAATAAATATGTCAATATATCTACTATTCCTATTGTTTTATCTTTACTGAATGTGTCATTTACTTATAATTCTATTTGGCATTCAGTTAGAAGACAGAGTCATAAGCAGTATACATCATTAAATTATTTTTGGCTGGAAACAAATTGGAGCCTCAAAATATGTTTAATATACTCAGATAATTATTTATTTAAGAGCTTCTTTACTGCACCACACTATTCTGTATCACTCTAAAAGTGTCTAGAAGTGATATGTGCAGATGATCTCTAATTCATAACTAAATTTGACTGATATACAACCTTTTCACAACTTTTTGAAGCTTTATTTCTGCATGTTTTAGTAGCATGTGGTTCATGTTTGATTTTGTACCTGAATACCTTTTTCTCGTCTTTATAAATGTTTATCAATCGTATGTTCTTTCGACAGTGGCTGGCCAAAATGTGGCTTCCAAAAAAAAGAGAATGATTCTCTTACAACATTCCTTTTGCCATGTCTGGTGCTTTTAAGCAATCATTAACAGCTAGTTGAGTATTTTAGGTCATTCAACTGTCTGCAATACTAATTATGCAAATGAGTGCCTGCTTAATTACAAGTAGAAATGCAGAGGAGGAATTGCTTTGTGACTGTGTAGGACAACAGACAAATTTTAATGCTGTATTGTAATAAAAGAAATAAGCACGAAGCAGGGATGCGCAAAATACATGCAAATATGTATCAAAATACAAATACAAAATGCTTCGTCAAAAATGTATTTAATTACAAATCTCATTACTTTTGCAAAAAAGTATTTAAGTACAAAATACAAATACAGACAGAAAAGTAGTTGGTCTCTTCCAAATACTTTTCCAAATACATTCCTTAAAATTTGCGTCAGCGACTTCAGGGCACCTGCAACAGGTTTCTGGGTATCTCATTTTAATTTTGCATCGCACACTGGGGAGTTAGTGCTCGAGGCTCTAGTAACGTAATACAAATATAATCACAAAAAAAATGTAATCAGCTTGGACGTAATAGGTGAAAAAAGTACAAAGCTTCAAACAGTTTTTTTTATTACATTTTGGTATAAACAATCAAAGAACCGAGACGACCAAGACGCGCAGCTTTAGCTACAGATTTTATTATTGTTGCAACTCGCACCAGTTACAAACATCTGGATGACCCGCGCATTTAGAATGCTCGAGGCAAAAGTATGGATGGAAATCAGGCTGGAAAGCATCACAAGTTGTTACCGTCACTTATTTAGCCAGTCTGCCTGTGAACGTCGATTTCGTCACTATTCTTTCCCTGGACTAGCACCGTAATTACAAAGTCACTAAATGCTTGTGCTTGATTGAGAGACACTGCATTCGGTGCAGAACGTAGTTTTCTTCCTGCTCTGGACAGTGACAATAAATTTGAGGGATGTATTTTCGCCCACAAAATTGTATTTAATTACAATTGTATTTGAAATACACACATTTTAGTATTTAAATACACACGTCAAATACATTACAGAATTTTTAATTAAATACAAATGCAAAATACACAAAGTATTTGAAATACGTAGTTCAAATACTTGTATTTGAAATACTGCCCATCCCTGGCGCGAAGTATGTACTTGTTCTTCTGTTTATGTGGCTACTATAAAATTTACTTTTGTTTGCTTCCAAAGCTTCTCCCAAATGACTCAAATCAATTACATCGCTGTCTGTTCAATATCTTTTTAAATCAACATGTTTTTAGTGTTTTGTAGGTCTAAAAGTTACATTATATGAATCCTACCCCCTAAGATGTGCCACATGGGGCTTATAACTTCTGAAATATTCCGAGTTCTGTATCCCCATCGCATCTGAGTGAGGGAAGCCTTGAGTGCCAGATTTTCTCCTCTTGCAGAAAAATGACACATTATTACAATATTTTTTTTTGTTGTTCCCTCATTGTTTTATTTTCCTCAAAATCTAGGCATGAATTTGTACCTTGACATATTTTCTTTAAGTGCACAGTTCACAGTCTGCTGGCCTAAATGTAGGTTTTGCTCAGCTTGTTATGGCTTAATTGTTATTTTAGGAACCTTCAGCACACTTATACTTTTGAACTGTGCACCTATGTGACTTTGGTGGCAAAGCTTGGGGCTTTCGACATTAGTTGTGCATGTAAAATATCAGCAAGTACTGATCCCAAATCCTTCACTGCATTTTTTTTTCACTTGTCTGGTTTCTGACCAAATACTTATGGGCCAATCTGCTATTTGTTTCAGATACCAAGTTGGTATCAAACAACATGATGGGTCACGACAGGAGGCCGGGAGCTCGGGCAAGAGCAATCAAAGCCGCCACAGATCTTGCTGCTTTTGAGAAAAATTGGAACAGTGTGAGTACATATTTGATTTGGCATGTGTACGATGTGGTATCAAAAGGTTTCCAGTCTTGTTTTGTATTAAAAAGAAAAGCAAATAGCGGCACGACACTGCATTTACAGGGGTCGAGGGCAGCAACCTTGATCTGTCATGGTGCTGAGTGGCTCAATGTGGCAATGCACAGGCGAGTTGGTGCATGATTACAACTGGTAGCAGCATGCAAAAACACACGGACAAAGGGACGAATGCACAGGACTTCGGTGTTTCCTTTCCATTAAACATTTAGTTGCAGTTCAGCGCTCGCCTTGTGCATTTCCTCCCTTTGTCCTTGTGTTTTTGCGCGCTGCTACCAGAGGCTTAGAGCATCGCTCTGTGAGCTTGGGTGCCCCGCTGTACAGGTTTTTGTGACTTCATGTGCGTGCGCCTCTGCAATTTGTGCAAGTGGTTGTGGTCCTCCCCTAGCCTTTTCAATCATCTCAATATGAATTTGTTTTATTTTCAGCTCATCTGATGATCGATCGGATGCCATGAAGGTTTCTTTATAAATATGTTCTTTTACGGTTTACAATATAGTTCTTCAATTTCAATACTGCCTCCGTTTTGTCTTGCCCCTTTTTTCAGACACACTACACTTGTTTATAAGGATTTGTCGTTATATTAAGGAACTGTACTGCGCTAACTCATGATGCCAGACGTTATCTGTAACCCTCCGTAATACTACCAAGGCCGTAGCTGAGAGTTCACATTATTGTTACCGTACAGCGAGCACACAGCGATAGAAGTGCAGTACGCAAGTACGGGATTAAAGCTGTAAACTAAACTTGAGGTATGCAAGCCGTCAAGCATTCCGACGGTATTGGAGGCGTAAGGGAAGGGTACGGTAACTGAACTGTTATTGTTACAATACGGCAATGGAAGTGCAGTATGAAAATACGGGACTGAAACCGTACCCTTCCCTTACGCCTTCAATACCGTCTGAACACTCGACGGCTTGGATACCTCGAGCTAAGTTTGCTGCTTTAGTCCTGTACTTGCGTACTGCGCTTCTATTGCTGTATGTCTGCTGTACAGAAATGATAATGTAAACTGTCAGCTACGGCTTTGGTGGTATTACGGAGGGTTACAGATAATGTCTGGCATCATGAGTTAGCGCAGTACGGTTCTGTCCCGACTTGTCCCTACTAAATTTTAGCACTAAAATGTCTCCTTCCTTGCTGCAAATTCTGCTCAGTTCCTCCATTGTCTCATGACTTTCTGGTACGAGTACAATGTCGTCTGCACACATTAACCCTGGCAATATTTGATTTACTTTGTGTCCTCCCTCCATGTAAGTCAGGTAAAAAACCTATGTTGCACTGTTGTAACCTTTCTCCATCTCACTGGGGTATATCATAAAGAGCATGGATTACAATGGCAACCCTGTCTAACACTTCTTTTTATTGCTGCTGGTCTTGTAGTTTCGGCTTCCCATGTTATATGACCATCCTATTCTCCGCATGAACTCGTTCTAGAAACTTAACCATGGTTCCCTTTCGTCCATATCCTCTCAGTTGGTCCCAGATTTTTTTTTTTTTTTATTTAGATTGACATATCCCCTTTGATGTCTAAAAATGCTGCCCATAATGGCTCTTGATTTGTCATTGCTATCGCTATGCACTAAGTGATTATGAATAAATTATCATATAGTCGTCTCTTTCCTGAAACCATTTTGAAGTTCCCTCAGAATCTGCTTTCTCTCTGCCCATTCTTCCATTCTTCTTTTTACAATTTGCATATCTAGTCTGTATATTACTGAACATACTGTGATTGGTCGGTATGATTTCATACTGTCTTTTTCTCCCTTGCTCTCATATAATAATCTCATCCTGCTCAATTTCCAGTCACTGGGTAGCTCCCTCCCATAAGTATCTGGTCAATCACCTGCCTTAGTTTCAATTTGCTTGTTTTGCCTAGAACTTTTATCAATCTCATTGGTATGCTGTCTGGACCTGTTGCAGTTCCAACCGGAACCTTTCCTTCTGCTTTTTCCCATTCCTTTATGGGCATTTCCTTTTCTTCACTATGATCCCCTTCTTGTGTTGTGTAGACGCTACCATTCCATACGGCCTGATCTGATTCTAACTCTGAAATAGCTGCTTCGATGGTATGTATAATGTATTCTCTTGCCACTTCCCCCCCTACCTTTGTCCCTTCCTGTGCTGTCAGTGTCTGCTGGTACCCATCGGTCTTACTTCCCTGTGCACTGATGTGTTCAATGAACCTTTTTGCCGCATTCCTATCCTTCTGGTTTATCTCTATCATCCACTGGACACCTGCCCTCCCAATTTTGGCCTGTATTATTGCTTATGCCTCCCGCTTTCTTTCCTGAAATTCCTCCCATTTTGACGCTACTTCGGCTAGTGTTGCCCCCTTTTCCTTTGCCCATATGTGTTCTTTAGATGCCGCTTGGCGTCTCGATATTGCTGCCTTAATCTCTTTATCCCACCAGCTTTTCGGCTTGCGTTATAGTTCTCTTCCTCCTTGTTTGATCCAATATTTCTCTCTCTTTTGAAAACACTAAGTCTTCATACGTCCATTCTCTTTCCGGCTGCTTGGAGGCTATGTTCTGGATTCGCTTAGATACCTCCTGTAACTGTCTATCATTTAGGTTATTCCTACCCTCTAGTTTGTGATTTTGAATTTCTAGTTTCATTGTGCCAAATCTGATCTTGATTCACTTATGGTAGCTCCCCAGACTTTTTGTGACTTCCTCATTTATTTCCATACCTCCTAATATGTTGTATATCTTACGCGGCATTAAACAGCACTCAATAGTCGAGTGCGAGTTCTTTATTTCCCGTGTTATTTTTCCATCACCTATCGCCTGAACTTTAACTAATACCAGGTCAAGAGCTGCGCAGAACGCCTCTAATATCCTCCCTGTTGTATCCGTACGTCAATCAAAGTCTTCCAAATGTGCATTCATGTCCTCCAAGATAATTATTCCCTTGTTAGTACCAATTCCCCTTACATCTCCTGATATAGATGTCAAGTGTTCTGCATACACGAAACCCAGGATTGTGTCTACAACCTCAATATTGCCTTTGACCCAGATGTGTTCCCTGCAGCCCTCTCGTTTCCTTTCCCATTCCTGACCCTTCACTAACACCCCTAATCCCCCTCCCTTGCGTTCCCTATTGGCCCGGTTGCATACCATCCAATGATATCCTGGTATGTATGGTGGTTGTTCCATATCCCTCAGATGTGTTACTGCTAATCCATACACTGCAAAGTTTTCGCTTTTTTACTGCTCCTCAATCTCCTCCCACTTTATTCTGTTCCTGCCCCCCTGCAAGTTTATGGACCCTATGTTAAGCTGTTTCTTTTTCCTAGTCCTGCGAGGCCTCCTCTCACCCTCCCAAACCCTCCCCGCTGTATCTACATTTTTGCTCTCATTTACACCGGCGCCCTGAGGGCTACGGGACCCCCCGAAAATGTACGATGTGACGTCCAATCCTATCGTCTACCGTGCTCCAAGTGGTTCCACTGTAGTGGACGCCCCATGTAAAAGGGTCGGAGCGAGCCTCGTACACCGCCCTGTCTATTTACATTACTCCGTACTCAAATCGTTGGCTCAACCCTATTATTACCCGGTTAGCTTCCACCACCCGCTTCTCTATATGCAAAGACTGTCCCCAGACCTCTGGGTCGGTGCATATTTTCACATGCACAGTCTCAGAGACCTCCCTCAGCTTACGTAACCCCAACTCTATCCGCCTGTCGAGGTTCTGGCTCAGTCCCTTTAACACATCATTTAGTCCTGCCTGTACTAACCCTAGGTTTTCTCCCTCCCTGTTTTTCCACACCTCCTCCTTCGCTTTGGCCATACCGTCTACCATGCACTTTCCTGACTTAGCCATACGTTTACCATCCCATCCCCTTTCACCCTGTCCAGCAGCCCCTCCTTAACCCTTGTTATGTTTGAGTCTCCTACAACCAGCACCCTCTTAACCCCCAACTGCCTGCCTTCACAGCCTCCAGCTCTCTGTGCTTTCTCTGCCTCAACTTCTGCCGCCTTTCTCAAGCCCTGCTGTACTGCAGTACTATACAGCTGTGCAAGCTCCTTTCCTACGCAGTCATTCACCTCGTCACGATTTAGATTGCCCCCTTTGTCTGCCGCCCCCACCACCGTCTTCTCTGCCACTACACCCTTTTTCTTATTAACTACTCCTGTCAGTTGCTGCACTATCTCCTCACACTTTTTCTTATGCTCCTCCAACCCCGCCTTCCACTCTTCCCCCTGTCTAAGGCCCTCTACTTGTCGCTCAAGCTCGGCTCTCTGTTTCGGTTCTCATCTCAGATCTTCCGCCACGCTCTCTACCTTACTTTCCCATTCTCTGGTCATCTCCTCCACATCCGCTTCGCCCCTCTTCGTGAAATCTCCAATTTGCGCCTCGAGCTGAACCCGCTTCTCCCGCTCTACCCGTATCTCCAGCTTCAACTCCTGAACCGTATCCGCCCATTCTCTTCCTATTCACCTAAAACCAAGCTCTACCTTCTCGCAACTCCGACAGGTAACGTTGCTCTCCTCGGCTTCTGCTACAGCTTTGAGCTCTGTCTCCATCATGCAGCACCAACGGCCACACTCGTCACATTCTTCATTGGGTCCCCCTTTTACTTTAGCCTGCGCATCCGTCTTCCGTCGCATATTCACCATTGCCTACCGACACACAGCGCGACCCCACGACAAATATCGCACCAAAACCAAGAAAGCCTGGGTACGTCTCTGCCCCCGCAACCAACTAGCCTGCCAAAAGTTTCAAACGTGCTGGTGGTTCGGTCTCGTGACCCTACCTAAAAGCCTGCTTTAACCCAACTATCCTATCGATACTTCAAAAACTGCTTTCTGCTACCTCAAAAAACCACCAGAGTTAGAGCAAAAATGCTTTATAGCACGGTGCTAAACCTGGAGG